CCCTCACCACCGGGTCCCAGCCCGAGGCCCTAAGTGGAGTTGGCGCCTACGCGTCGCCCTCCACGGCGGATGGGGCGGCAGCCCCCGACTCCTCCGCCCACGGGCGCCAAAAGGGCCCTGCCTCGGGCTCCTTCCACTCCCTGCTTGTCCGCCCCGGCGATGGGGCTGATTGGGGTGCACTCACCGCGCCGAAGTCTCCGGGTGCGTCCCAGCGCGAGTCGCCAGCTGCTGACTCCTTCCTTCTTGGTCGCCCCGGGGGCCGAGCCCTTGGCGCCCCTGGAAGCCAGGGTCGCTGCCTCCTCGCTCCTGCCCCCCCTTCCGTCTGCCCGGCCGCCATCTTTATGGGCGCCGGGGAGTGACGTCCGGGCGTTCCGCCCTGTCCGTGCGCCGCCGCCGCCCCCGCCCTTTCCCCAGCGTGGGTTCGTGCCCCGTTTAATGCCGCCAGCCGAGGCGGGCGGGCTGGCTGCTTCCGCGCGGCCCGCCCCCTCCCCCGCTCCCGGCGGGGTGCCCTGGGTTGGGCTTGCCGCGGCCCCAACTCCGGGGCTGCGATGCCGGTCGGCGCGCCGCTTGCGGTGCGCGGTTTCTCCAGAGGGGGGGGAGTCCCGCTCCCTCCTCTAGTGCGGACCCCGCCGGGTCCGTCACAGTCTCCCTTTAACCCTAGATAATAAACCTGGAACCCAAGGACCACGCCAACGCGAGGCAGTATCACCCCACAGTAGACGCATCATAATTTCAGCAAACAAAGTTGCCATTAACATGTCTGTTTTGTTTATGTTGGCTTATTTAGCTTGTTAGGAATAACTACCTGTACCAGTGATAAGATGTTTAATTGGCATTGGGCAGAGATGCTGTGTAACCTTCGTAGTTTATTGACTTACGTGCTCTTTTTGTCTTGCCTCTAGAATCTATGAAATTGCTTCCCCTCCGCCCATCTGTTGCCTATATAATATATTGTAATGTTTTGATTAACTAGTGCTCACCAGGTTAACCCCTGGTTGGTACTCCACCAGCGCTGGTGTGTAATAAATCCTCTGCTTGTTTTCACTGCATCCAGTTGTCCAGAATTATCCCCTAAAGTGCTCCACTGTGACTGTGTTTTTAGGGCAGCAATATCGTCTGTTCAGGTTTCACTTCCCCATTCCCCAAATCTTTGTCCATCGCTGTGACGTAGTCTTGGTACCTTGCTGGTTGCTAGGCTTGGGCTGTGGGTGACCCCCACAGGCTGCTGTCTGTAGCACGGCCCAGCAGGGCAGGGGATGAGTCATTATGCAAAGGGGGTTCTAAACCTGTCAGAGCAATTACTTCCCAGGGAGCCGAACGAAGAAAGGAGGGCGAGGTCAGCCCTGGCTGGGGGGCAGGTCTGGAGGAGAGTGGGGGAGTTTTCTGGTTGGTATCATGGAGGAAGCAGCCTAAGCAAGGGGGCTGGAATTTAGGGGCCCAGTCTCCCCCTTCTCAAGGGGGGCTGAGGCATCCTAGGCCTGCCCTGTAACCCGATTACATCTGTGCTGTATCCTGGACTCCCTCTATTCTACTGGCTGGTGGAGTCTGTTTGTGCCACTACAGGGGTGCAGGAGACGGGAAAACCACAACGCACCGTCACAGTCGCATGAGAGGTTTGTAGCACTAAGGGGACCGCAGAGCCCAAACAGCCGTTTGCGCCAATTGCTCCCATGTGGTGGCCCAGCTGGGGGACGCAGAAGTCAGCCGAGTGCCACGACGGGGGGGGGGGGGGGGGCCGTGAAGGACAGTATGGGGGCAACAGCACCACTCAGAGGCAACACCAAACACTACAGCGTTACAGAGTCACAGACATTGGGCTACTAAATATATGATAACGCTGTAGTGTAGACATGCCCAAAGAGGTTACTGGGTCACAGACTGTTGCAATAAGCCCTAAAGCAAGGGCTTTTGTTCAGTCCATGGTGTTTCTGCTCAGAGTAAAACTTTGTCTACCCTTACTCTTGATCAACAACATTTTTGTTAATGGATGCTTAAAATAACCATGGACAACCACGTTTTGCCATGGCAAGTGCACGTGTGAATGGTGCTGTCTCAGCAGGAGCACGCTCCTGCTGACAGAGCAAAACTCCCTCCCAGAGGATGCAAATGTTTTGTCACCAAAAGTGCCAACAGTGTTCACACACGGAGCTGGTCTTAGCGGTGGACGAGCCGGGTGGTTGCCTGGGGCTGCCATTTTCAAGGGGCCAGCAACAGAGCTGGTCTTAGGGGCATGACCACATTTCGGCCCCACCTCCCGAATCCTCTCCCCAGGTTCCCCCTTTTTGCTTGACAATTTTTTTCAGGTATTTTTTTAAAGCATCTGGCAACCCTACAAATGAGCCAGGCTGCCAATTGATTAGAACCAGCCCTGTTCACACAAACCAAACGTAGCATGGTGTAGATGTTCGCCAATTACCGTATGCCCCAGAGTCTCCTTCACAAAGTGCTGTGCAGGGTGCCTAAGAGGGTGAGAACAGATCACTCAGCGATGGACTGATCACCTACAGGTAGAACCATAGAATCATAGAACCATAGAGCTGGAAGAGACCTCAGAGTCATCAAGTCCAGTCCTCGTAAAATGAGGTTTACCTAGTTCGAACTAAGCGCTCCGCTAGTTCGATTCAAATTCGAACTAGCGGAGCGCTAGTGTAGCGCCTATTAAAGTTAGTTCGAACTAACGTCCGTTAGTTCGAACTAACTTTGTAGTGTAGACATACCCCTTCAGAAAGTGCTGTGCAGGGTGCCTTTGAGGGCGAGGACAGACTCCAACCTGGACCTCCCCCACCACAACTTGAGACCAGTGATGGGATGTCCTTGTCTTTTCTCATTTTCCTGTGTGAGCTCACCAAAGAGAGAGTTTCACCCCACCAGCTGTCTCTGGGACATTTAGGGAACTGGATGAGGTGCATAGGTTGTGACAGGTGTGCGTAGAAACCGTGAATCTTGGAAGGTGAGTTGCAGGGGGCAGAGATAAATGGAGCAGTTGGGGATCTGGCTGCAGGTTTTTGTTTCTGGCATTCTGGCCTGTGTTTGGGTGCCTGTTTCCTTGCAAGAAAAGGACTTCCGGAGTTTTCTGTTGATGACTCACAGCCAGGCCCCTTCCTGACAATCTCCTATTTCTGGGAAAGGGCAGCCCAGCCTGTTGCTTTCGGTTTCTATCAGATGCGAAGGTACGTGCCGCGCCGGCCCTGGAATTGTTCCAAGCTCCCTGTAACTCAGACGGTGCTGCTGAGCCATTTCAGATTTTCCATTCCTTGCAAGACGGTGCTGCTGAGCCATTTCAGATTCTCCATTCCTTGCACACTCAGTTTTGTCAGCAAAAGTTACACTGCTGACCAAAAGCATTGTAACAGCATCGGTAGTGCACATGCTCAGATCCTGCTTCTGCTTCAGCAGCCTCTGTTTGCGGTGGGCTCGCCATCTGTGTCTGAAAGAATAGATCCCACGCTGCTCTCTACCGCTGTGCTCACTGTGATGGTGACGTCACGGCTGGTCACACAGTGTGTCAGTGTTGGGGGGCTGGCTCATCACCCTGGTACCCCCAGCCGGCTGTCCTGGGAATTAGCTCTCTTGCCTCACTGGATGCCTCTCTCTAGGTGGTGTCCCCCTGCGTTTCTCCTTGGTCACGGCACCCTCTTCGAGAGATTGACCTCTTGACCCAGATGTCCTGCCCATGGATCAGCATGGGCGAGGTCTAATACCTGCCTCCGGTAGCGTGTGGGGACCAACAATTTGCTGACTTATGTCTGTCCATCAGACAGTCTCACGATACGGTACAGCCGGTCGGCTCTTACCTCAACCAAGGGGTTGGGCTGCAAGGTGTCCCAGGGTCGCGATCCTCTGTCACTTCCTCATCTTGCTCTCACGCGTGTGTCAAGAAAGGATCCTCCTGTTGTTCCTGTTGGAAGTCCTCATTCACTCCTACCTCCTCCGAAGCGAGGGTCTTCTCGGGGTCGTACACCTCCCCACGATCTCGGGATGTTTCCCTTCTCGAGCTCTCGCTCATTGCTGGTCGCGGTTGACCCTGCCCCCACTGGTCCCAGTTGTGCAGGATGCGCCCAAATCTGTGCCAGTCCCACCCCAGGAGGACCAGGTATGCGAGTTTCGAGGTTAATGCTACCCTACAAACAAACTCATCTACCCCATCAGACAGGCAGACCCACCCTGTCGGATACGTCTTAATATCTCCGGGGATACATTGCATCAGGACTGTACCTCCTGCCCCCTCCTACTCGGGGACCAACTCTGTCTAGACCATGGTCTGGCTGCACCCAGAATCCACCAGGGTGGTCACTGGTTTTCCCTGTACAGTAATCTTTGTCTGATCCCGGGGTCTCGCTTGGAGATTAGCAGCCATGGCCTGGCCGTACGCACAGTCCATAAAGGGGTACTCTTGTTTCCAGTGGCCTTCTTGCCCATGCTCATAACATACGCTTTGGGGATTAAGGTCTGGCCTCAGCAGGTGGATCTCTTCTTCAATGCGCATTGGCCCTTCGGTCTGGGTTCCCCACCCCGGCATCCAATTAGGGGGTTGTTGGGAATCTTCCCCCTGTGTCTGTGAAGCCGCTTGTGCTCCACCGTGCCTGTTTCACCCTCCCCTTTTAACAGGGGTCTAGGTACCCACATTCTCCCCCACATGGAGTACTGAAGTCATCATCCATTACCCCATAAGCATGGGTGGTCAGTGCAGCTAGGGCTGGGGGAGGTAGGCCCCCAACTCCACCTGCAGCCCTGTCCCTTCTGCTGAGGTTCTGCCCCCAACATGAGGAGGAGAGGTGGAGGGGTAGCACGTTGAATGTGCATGCCCCCCACCATGGGGAGGATGCGAGTGCACACTCACCCCAGACTCCCCATCTCAGAGCACCGGGGAGAGAGGAGAGCATGGGGCGTGAACCTCCCTGGCCCTGGTGCATGGGGAGGGTGGACACTGCCCCCATGCTGCTCCCAGAACACCTACAGTAGGCAGAGCCTGGGCTGCCCATGGTCATAAGGGAACTGCAAATAGGAAATATTTCCCCTCAACTGGACCATGTGCCAGGACTTGGGGCACAGACTAGCTGCCTGGCCAGGTACTTCATGCTGGGGCCCAACCACCAGGGTTCCAACTTGCTACATGATCAGGGTCAAGTCCCTCAGCCTCTCTCTGGCCCTGCCGCAGTGCCGCTGAAGCCAGCGGGAGCCGCCCGCACACTGGAGACGACCCAGACCGGCCTGACATGGGCAGTGTGGGCTACGCTGACTCTGTGAAGTGCTCTGCAGTCAGAGGCCCTGGGAAGCAATGTACCACTTGTGCACCTGTGACAATGGAAAGCTCCTGGGAGGGTTTTGCATGGGAGCAAGGTTCCAGGGCCCCCTCCTGGGGCTCAGGTCTGCCTCCGATCCTCTCTCCCTGGCTTGGGCAGCTCCACACGGGGAGTTAATTCTTCTGCCTCACTGTCCTCAGCTGTGAGGAGGGTCACAGAGGGTCAGTGACAATGGCAGCCTTCTGGGAAGTGGGCCAGAGCCCAATGGCTAAGCTGGACGAGCTGCTTTGAACTAAACGTGCTATGGATTGGCTAGGCCCGACTATTCGTACGAAAGAGGTGACTGTTTTGGGGCACCAACATCCTCTGTTCAGGTTTCACTTCCCCACTCCCCAGACCCTTGTCCCTGGCGTGAGAGGTTTCTAGCACTAAGGAGAACTTGTTTATGATTTCCTGGCAATCTACAGAGAGAAGAATGTTTGCTCTGCCTGTGTGAAGGTGCATTGTCAAGCAGGGCTATTTGCAGGGCGCCCACCCTCTGACTGGCAGGATGCACAGAGCAATGGGGACAAAATGTCCCCAGAAAACGGCAGTGAACATTCCTGAGAGTTTCTCCCAGCACCAGCCTTTCTTTCACCTGAGGAAGGGGGCTGTGCCCATGAAAGCTCCTGATCCCATCGACATGGTTTGTTCGTCTCTAAGGTGCTGCAAGACGATTGGTTGGTTTTTAAGTCTTCGCAGGCCAGTTTCACGGCACTGAGCTAAGGCTGCCGGGCGCAGCAGGCCAGGGGCTCTGCCAGAGGTCCGGGGGAACTCACTGCTTAGCGTAAGCACTTAGGACACATTCTGAGAGACCAGTCCCAGTTATTTTAAAATATTTTCTGGTTTTCTGGCTGGGTGCCAACGGGAGCCTGGCGGGGGCGGGGGGAGTGGCTGGGAGGCGGGGCATGATCGGTGCTGGAAGCCTGTGGCTGTGTGTGCTGCAGGAGTCTGATGGGGAGAAGGAGAAGCCCTGTCCGTGCTCCTGAGCGCTGGTCAAGTGCGTTGTGGAGCCATAGCCGGACTCGCTCGTGCTTCGCTGGGACCGTGCGGGGGATGGGCAGCGCCCTGGGATCTGCATGTGCCCAGGTCAGTCCTGCTCCCTGCCAGCCGATTTGCTGCCCTCCTCCCCCCCGGCCAGCCCTGCTCCCCCAGACCCACTCCCAGCCAGCCCTGCTTC